AGGATAGGTAAGGAGCTATCTTGCAGTGGCAGGGAACAGACACCAGAGGACCACGAGGGGCTCAGGACCCCCAAAGTTCTGCAAGTTTTGCTGCCTTAGTTCAAGGATTTTCAGACTCCATCGTGTCTGAGGATCCCTGGGAATCTTGGTAGGATGCAGATTCTAGTCCAGGCTGGAGCAGGGTTTGCATTTCTAGCTGACTCCCTGGGCCTCATGCTGCCCTGCATATGAGAAGATCTTAGGACAAGGGACAAAGGAACACATGGGGGCTGGGGCTGTGATAAGCTAGTGATGACAGCACTGCAAGGGTTCCCACCTTCCCTCATTCTCCACCTCAAAAAGGCCAGTAAAAGAAAGAGATTCAAGAGGGAAGTCATGTGTCCTGGGACTGCCCTGATGGTGGATACAAGACCAAAGTAAGATCTCCAAAGGGACTTCAGAGAAAACATTGGGACCAAAGGGCATGTCCCCATCCAGAGAGCACGTTTTAACTCAGGCTTGTGGACATGTTCACACATTCGTGTGAGTAGAGCAGTACAAGTCCCACCACCCATTTCAGCTTCAACGATTTTCAGTCCTAGCCACTGGAAGAGCTGTCAGCCACCTGTCATTCCCTCATCAGATCATTTCATTCATAAACATTTTAAAGCATATTTCCAGAATCTAATTCCTCTCTTTAGAAACATATTTTATTTTTTGAAAAAGAAGATAAAATCTTTCCGGAAAGACGTTTAGCAATAGTTGTTTAAATAATTTGTTACAAAATAAAAATATTAAAATGTGTTAAACAACAAAGAGTTCCTCCACAGAATGAAAATTATTGCAGTGTTTAAATTTCTTTGAGAAGATGACTTTAAAGATATGGAAAACCGCTTGTAGTACAAACTATGAAATTTTATTTATTTATGCACTCAGTTGCAGTACTAGGGTTTGAACTCAGGGTCTTGCACTTGCTAGGCAAATGATCGACTTGAGTCATGTCCCCAGCCCCCTGTACCATCACACCCAGCTTATTCTTTGAGATATAGTCTAGGATGACTTCTTGCCTGGACTGGTCTTGAATCTCAATCCCTCCTAGCAAAACAATCCCTTGGTGGGATGATAGGCGTGAGCCACCTCGCCTGTCCCAAAATGTGAAAATTTAAAAAGCAGATTATAAATAGTACATGCCAGATAGCATTATTTTTATAAAAACACAATGCAATATATATGTGTACAGAAAAAAAAACTGGAAGAAACCAGTGCTTTTCTGAATGTTCCATTTCAACAATGGGCATTATGACAATCATAAAAACAACACTAAGTGCCGGTGGCTCACACCTGTAATCCTAGCTACTCAGAAGGCAAGAGATCGGGAGGATAGCAGCTCGAAACCAGCACAGGCAAATAGTTCATGAGATCCTATCTTGAAAAACCCTTCACAAAAATAGGCTGGTGGAGTGGCTTAAGCCACAGGACCACAAAAAAAAAACAAAAAACAACAAAAAAAACCCACATTAAAAAATACAGTGGAGACTTAGATATCCTAAACAGAGTGGCATTGCACCAGGACTCCCCTGGGGAGAGACTGAGTGCTCTCCCCAAATCCTCAGTGTCCTTCCAGGTAGCCCCGTGGCTGCTGACTTCTTTCCCAAGTTCGGTATGGCCTCCTTCAAGGTCCCCCAGTCCCTTTTCCTGGCATTTGACCCTAGCTGTTCCCCATTTGGCTCCAGATGGTAGACAGACCAGTTCCCTCCCTTCCAAGCTTCCCTGGCTGAGTCCCTTTAAGCACCCATGGCCTTGGGCCAGCAGCAACGGACTTAGTGGATTGACTGGGCTATACTTTACACAATCTCATCCCCTTCCTCCCACTCTGAAATTTAGCCTGAATGTGCAATGTCACTTTTTGACAGTAGGTGGCGCTGCCAACACAGAAATGCTTTTGTCCAGGGGTCCTCAAGGCAGATTTTAGGCATTATTCAATAGTATTAATTGCTGGAGGGGTGTGCTGACATAGCATCACTACACACAGGCCGATACTACCTAACACAACTACCACACAAGAACACCCACAAAGGCAGGCAAAAGTCTCAGAGTAAGGCAATTCTTGAAATAGAATACATTTAAAGAAAAAGTCAGTGGTATAGTTCTTACCATTTCACCTCTGACTAGTAAAAATATGACCCTTGGCCAGCAGTGGCCTTAGACTGGCTTCGAGAACTGCTGCTGTCATTGAGGCTTCCAGGCATTGGAAGTTCTTTCATTATCCAAGTTCAAAGTTCTATAAAAATTAACTTGCTTCAAATTAAGAACAGCTTTTTCGTTTCTAGGGTGCAGTGCAACATGTGCTAGATCATTCCTTCCTTACTACTTTGAAGCAGATCCATCTTGCTGAAAGACAGACTCCCCCCAACACCTCCTGTGCTGTCTCCCTTAGCCTAGAGTCAAAACGGCAGCCTCACGATCCAGGCCTACCTCCCTCACCAAGATACAAGAGCTTTCTCCATCCTACACCAAAACAAGGCAGAACGGGCTCCAGGACAAACCAGTTCATGGCCTCCTACCATGCAGCCGACCACTGCTAAACTGCCATTCCCTCACCTTCCTGGCATTTGCCTATCCTGACCTATTAAGTCAACACATGTCACCTTCTAGGGAGCCACCTCCTCAGGTACATAATGACCTCAATAATCTTGCTGGGATGACATCACAGTTCCGAAAGACTGTGTCCTGTCATGGTGTGTGTGGTGGGGGGTTGACACTGACCAGTAAATCCCCATTGAGTTGACTTCTCAACATTACCTTTAAAATGTTTTCAGTAAATCCAGGAGATGCTGGCAAGATGCTAGCTGATTACAAGTACAAAAGCCATCAGGAAACCCTAGGGTTGGGAAACACAGCAAGAAAAGGAGGCTGGATTTTTTCATCCCCTGAGAAACCTCCAGCTGCTCTGGCACCCCTGCCCCTGCAAAAACCTTCCCAAAACTTGTTTTCTGTGTTTGGCTCTTATATGCTGGGAAAGCACACATTTACAAAAATTGACCTTCTAAAAATGGAGTTAAAAATGTCCATAATCTATAAATAAGATGACTGTGCACAGCAAAAGAACACAGTGTTTAAAAACAAAAAAAGAGAGAGAGAGAGAATGGAAAAAGTAAGGCAATTCTACAGTGAGTGTGGTGTGTATGATGTACGGTACCAATGGCAGAAACAGGAAGGAACATTTAAGAAACAAAACTTACAATGATTACAGTTTAGTGGGTACTTTACTATGGCATGCACAAACAAAATATTTTATCTCCGTGACGTCCTTTCGGCCCCACTAACATCCTATTAGATGGGAAGGGTTCTCACCCTTTATGGGCTCAGAAAGATGAAATAACGTTTATGCAACAGCTGAAAATAGACTCTAGGTCGAACAGCAATGTTCAAAGCTTACTTCATATTAACTTTCTCCCTTTTCTGACATAAACTATTTTTCTTAATTGTAACTGAAAATAACTTAATTTCTGCCTTAGAAACAGGGTCCACAGAGCCTTGGTGCCCACCACACAAGCCAGCCTAGAGCCCCAGACATACACAGCAATTCTGGTCCACAATGAAAGGTTCCTGCTTTTGTTTTTGTTTGGTTGGGCTTGTTTTTCGTTTTTCTGGTACTGGAGTTTGAACTCAGGGCCTCACATGGTTTCTTTTTTTTTGAGACAAGGTCTCCCTATATAGCCCAGGCTAGTCTTGAACTTGCAACATCCCTCCTAGGCTTCCCAAGTGTTGGGATTACAGGCAGGTATCACTGCATCTAGATTCTGCTTTGTTTTTAATAAGTCCAAGTCAGCTTACTTTCTATGATATATCTCTTTTTCTAAAGTTCATGTGATAAAATGTGAAGCTCCAAGAGCTAATTTCCTAAAAACCAGTAAGGAACTGATTAATAACTGTCCTTTAAAAAAAATGGGACAAAGATAATAATTGGCAACTCAAAGAAAAAGAAATACAAATGGCTCAACTTATTTTTTAAGTCTATTCACTCCTAAGAGAAAGAAATGCAAATTGAAATTCCAGAAACACCATTTCCCACCAGTCAGTCTGGCAAAGAGCAGAAAGCTCCCTAACATGTGTGGCCGCCTCTCCCACACTGCTGCTGACAACTGAAACTACCTCACACCTACTGAGGGCCATTCAGCAGCATCCATCATCACCCCTCCTACTGACCCAGGAGCCCAACTGTAGGCAGCTCATCCTTCAGACTGACTCTCCCACCGAGGGGACTTACTGCAAGGGACTGTAAACAAGCAAAATATCCATCAGCAAAGACTAAGCAAGAATGGGAAGGTGCTTCCAGTAACTACTCTAAGTAAAAATAAGAATATGTAAGAAAGGAGGATAAAGTTAGCTTCTGGTGAGGGAAGTGGGCAGCTGGGGCGGTGTATTTTACTAAGTACCCTTTAGTACCTTCTGAATTTTGAGTCATGTGATTACTCAGAAAAACAAAACCAAATGCTTCTACATATTGAAGTCTTTTTTTTTTTTTTTTTTTTTGTACTAGAGTTTGAACTCAGGGTCTCCTGCTTGATAGGCAGGTACCCTACCACTTGAACCACTGTTAGTCCTTTTCCCTTTTATTATTTTTAGGATACTGTTTAACATTTTTGCCCAGGCTGGCCTCGAACCTCCATCCTCCTGACCTCTCCCTTCTGAGTAGATGGGATTATAGATCTCTGAAACCATGCTTGTTACTTAAGTTTCTGGCTTGACTCCAGCTAACCTCTCCAGAAGCATTCCTGCATTATAGAAATCAGTGGAGGAAAAAACATGGGGACCGTGATAGTGACTGGATTAGGTGAAGCTAGGATAGGCCCCTTTGAAGGGAGAGGTTTAGGGGTTCCCAGGCCTGCACCTCCTCTCTCTGCCTATAGGTAGTGCTATAAGACCTGCTGTCCTGGGCAGGTGGCACTGGCTTGGGGGGGCATTCGGGCCTCAAACACCTGGCCAACAAGGCAAAGAAACAGACAGGCACAAGTAAATAACATAAAATAGAACCTAACTTTATTTCTCTGGATGAAGCAGATATTCATAGCTGGGGCAGCAACTTTGGCGACAGAGGCTGGTGGGAAAACACGGAATGGTGAAAGGGAAAAGTTGGTGTCAAATAGGAAGCAGTGGTGTCCCTCCATGGCAGCTGTCCCCTTGGTCTCCTTCCAACCCTAGGGCCCTAGGCCCTGATCCCTGCTATATAATAGTCTGCCACCCTCTCTCTGCTTCCTAAGCCACATCGGGCTATTTCCAGGCACAAAATCCTAACACTAGCCAAGCCCCATAACATGTCCATAGGAAGGCCCCAAGTCACATTCTGTCCGATACCCCAACTGCCTGCCAGGGACTCCCTGGAAAAGGGCCCAGCCCTGGGAGGGCCTGCAGGTTGCTGCCTCTTCTCTCGTGTGGCCAACACATCTTCCCTACCCAGGTCAAGCCTGACTTCCTCTCAGTCTGGTACCCCTAGGCAGAACCTGGGGACATACTCCAGCCACAAACCCAGCCAAGGTCTGGAGCCAGAGGCTGGTCACACACAGGGCCTGCTGAAGCAGCTCCCTGGCCTGCCTTCACAGGGCTCTTCCCACTTCTTGGCTGGGACACCGAGAGCAGAACCAAGGTGCACAGGGACTGCACTGGGTGAGTGAGATGGGCAAAGTGGGCCTCCCAGTCTCCAGCTGCTTTGACTTCACTTTCTTCACTGGGAGCAGCAGGTCCTCCAGGCCTGAGTGGGGATGTCTCCCCAACCCCTGTTGCATGGACAGGCTCAAGTGATTCCTTCAGGGCAGATACTTGCTCTCCAGACACCTCTCACCGCCTAATGTAAGGGAAATAACCAAAAAGAACTTCATTAACAAGGACTGGTTAAAAAGGGTACTGAAAAATGAGGGGGAGTGGGTACCAAAGAGCCAGAGGGAGTCACTGCCTCTAGGTACCATGCAAATAGGTTGAAAATTGGTTGTTTTAGGCAATAATTTTAGAACTTATCATCATGAAATGTCTTTTTATTTTCATAAACTGAATAAACTAAGAGAACAAATCTATTTTGTATTAGGATGTCAGGGACAATAAAACCTAAGGTTATCTGGATGCACATTAGGGAGAATAACTATGAGATAATGTCAAACACAGAGTGACTGTCCTGTGTGTGCTGTGACAGATCCATCTCCCATGTTTCTGACCACTTCTGATCCAACACCACAGACAAAGAAGCTCAGACACCTGCATGAGGCCATATGGTCAAAGGGCAACAATGGCTAGTTCACCTGTCATCTGTACCCCACCCTGGCAAACGGAGCCTCGCATCCCAACACTCGCTTCTTAGGATGATGCCAACTGACACCTTTGCCTGGGTTTCACTACTTTTGGACTGGATAAAAGTTTCATATATATATTTATATATCATTGTATATTATTTACATATCTATATGCTTTGCTTTATAATATATATATGTATATAGACACACACACATAAACACATAAAGCTTTTTATAGCAAAAAAGTAAAGGGTGTTTTTGGGGGGGTGGAGAGGATGGACATTCCTTTAAACAGTCATTAACATTTTAACTATTACTTTATTTTGAAGTACTCCAGTTTGAACTCATTTGCTAGGCAGACACTCTACCACTTAAGCCATGCCTTTAGTCCGTAACTGTTACTTTAAACAGAAACAGGAAAAAAGAAGCAAGAACTATTTGGTTAAGTCATTGGGCCTAAAGTACTGCTCCCAAGAGCACTGGGTGCTATGGGGGAGCTAGGGAAGCAGCCATTTCATCCCAGAGTCTGGTTCTCTCTTACTTATCAACACTTGAGAAAACCAAGCTAAAAAAGGTTAAATGAGTTAATTTGGGAGGAATTATTTTCCGCCCAATCTACCTCCTTCTTGGTACCCATGCCTGCCCTCCCTTCTACCTGGTGGTGATTCCTATGTCTCTCGGGCCACATGTGGCCCTCAAGATGGGCTTCTCCTTTTGTGGGGATCTCCCTCCTAGAACAGGGAGGCAGGGCAGTGTGGAGCTTACTTACTTGTGATGGGCAGGACCACAGGAGCCCAGAAGGTGGCAGCCAGCTTGCTCCAGGTTCCAGTCAAACATCTCCAGCACTTTGTGGCACTCTACTCGTGGTCGCAGACCCAGCCCAAAGAGCTGCTCCACCTGAGGGACAGAGAGTGGTGCCTAGGACACACGAGGGCTGAGGGGCACTGGACCATGGGGCAGGGGCAGAGGAGTCAGAACTAGGGGGTGGGGTCGGGAACAGCAGAATCAGTTCACAGAGTCCCTGACACCACTCCTGACACCAGAGTGGACAGGAGACAGTGGTACCTTTAGATACTGGGCAGCCCTCTGCACGTTCCAGCTGTGACTCTGCAGAGCCGCCTGGCATTCCTCTGTGGTCACCCCATGCACCATGGCCTGCAGCTGGGCACACCCACCCATCAGCACCACTTGGCCCATTCCTCTGGGTCCCTTGGGCCCCTGCCCCTCACCTAGTAGAAGCCTGGCACTTACCATTTGGACCTTGTCCACTGGCCGTCCAGCCTCTGGCCCATCCCCAGGGCAGCCTCTCTGTGGCAGCCGAGCAGTACCCCTCAGAGCTGGTGGCCGTACCCCTAAGTTGCTGTTGTTGGTGGAGAAGTTGGCTTTGGGGTCTGGGGCAGCCTGGGGCATTGGTCGAACTGTGGCTGTGGGGGCGGCAGGGGCTGGAGTGCTGGGTGGGGGCAGCAGCAGAGGCACAGGTAGGGCAGCCGGCTCTTCAGGACTCTGGGCCTCACGCAGGAAACGCTGGTAGCGCTCCAGGTAGGGAGGGCGCTCAGGCAGCAGGTAGTAGTGGGTGTTGCTGACCTTCTTGCCATCGCGGACAATGGGCAAAATGCAGGGACCAGCCCGTGGGCCAGGAGCCTGGATCACCTGGGGTGTAGCGTACTTGGGGTCTGAGGCGAAGCTCTGGGTGGTGGGCATGGTCTTCCCAGGTGAGCTTGAAAGCCGGGGTGGCAGGGGAGAGCTGCCAGGTGGCACCAGGGGGCTGGGAGTCCTGGAGCCTTGAGGGGACAGGGGCTCTCGGGGAGGCACCCGGGGAGGAGAAGATGGTCCAGGCCACCGACCCATCTCCTCCTCGCCTAAGGGGGCTGGAGACAGCTCAACACGTGGGCGTGTAGGCCGAGGGGGAATGGGCACCCGGGGGGGCACCTGAGGTTTGTCATCGCCCCCTGGGCTGGGTGAGGAGACCAGTGAGCCAGCTGGGACCTGCAGCTGCCGCATGCACTCCTGCTGCAGTGCCTGGAAGATCTCTGCAGTCTGGGCTGAGCTGGGTGGCTTACCTCCACCCTGTGGGGGGAGGAACAGGTTGTCTTCTAGGGCAGGGGCTAGCCCTGCCTGCTCAGGCACAAAGGCGTAATTGGTCTCACCCTGGCTGGGCTCAGCAGGGAGCCCCGTGCCCACCAGGGTGCTATTGATGGAGCAAACCTCAAAGTCATCCTCATCTTGGGCTACATCATCATAAGCAGGGGGTGGGGGCAGTGGGCGTGCATCCCAATCCACCACAGGCGTGGGATGCAGGGGTCGTGGCAGTGCCCGTGTGGGGCTCTGTGGCGGTGTCTTGTCCAGCAAGGAGCAAGCATCCATGGCCAACTGTGCCAGAGAGGGTGCGCAGGGCCGTGGGGTCAGAACCATGGGCTCCTCGCCAAAGTCGATGAGTGTGACCTCACCCCCACTGTTTCGGCCTGCCTTGGTGCCTGGTACTCGGGCAGATGGCTTTGCAAGCCACAGCCCTCGAGGCAGGCCTGGCTTCCGCAGGCCCAACCTCTTGAAGTCACTGGACAGGGGGTCTTGGTCCTCGCTCACAGGGTCATAGGTTGGCTCTGTGATAGAAAGGGAGACCCCAACAGGGAGGCAGTGTCAGGCAGGAACAGGGCAAGGGAAGGTAGGTAGGTTGTGGAAAGCAAAGTCAAGTATCCCCTGCCAACTGTCCACTGACAATTTCCCCAGAAATCGGCCATCAGCTGCCAAAATTCTCAGTGCACACCTGACCCAGTCCAAACAGGAGAACAGAACTGTCTGCCATCCGTTTTCAACGCTGGTGAGAGGCCCCAGCCACTAGAGCAAGCAACATCCTTGCCCTCATCCCCACCTCCATTATGGCACACCACTAGTGCAGGCATGGGCAATAGGAGCTATCCATGGAGAGGACAGAGCTGTTCATCAACCACCACAAAAGCCAAGACCCAGTCTCTGCAGGTCCAAAAGGGAGTGAGGCAAGTCCCAGCCACAGCACAGTGAGGTCCAAATGGGCACCAGGACCATACTCTTCTCTGGAAGTCCAGGCTGTTGAGGGTGTGGAGCAGGGAGGCAGGCATGCTGGACCGGGACAGCAGCAAAAGCTCACAGCACACTCCCACTCCCCTCCCATCCAGCCAGCTGCCATAGCCTGTACCTTCCAGGAGGAGAGGAGAAGTGAGAGGAGAGAGAGGGCGGGGGCAGGGGCCAAGGCATCCTGAGCAGCCCCACTTACTCTGAGTGAAGATGGCAGGCTGAGGTGGGCGAGGTGGAGGCTCCCCTGCAAGAAAGGCCATGCGGACAGGGAGGAGGGAGAGTGACAGAGCAAGACACAGAATAGAGAGGGAGACAGAGCCAGACCGACAGCAGAGTTTGGAGAGGGTGGGGAGGAGAGAGGAGAGAGTAGTGAATAGGAGTGAGCGAGTGTACAAACCCAACTGCAAATGAAAGGCAATGGGGCAGCAGGATGGGACGACTGTGTTCCAGAATGACAGGCACAGGATCTGGGAGATGGATGAAGCTTTTGGCTGAAAAGGAGCCTGTGGGGTGGTTTTGGCTTGGAGAGGAGAGAAGGATTAGGGGGAAGTGAGGGAAACCAGGATCTGTGAAGGCCAGTGAGGAAGGGGAGAGGAGGAAGCTGAGGTGGGCAGGGCTGGTACAGGACCAACCCAAGGATGCCCATTTGGGTGGATACAAGCTGCCTCTCTTCTCCCACCCCATGCCTAGCTGAAGCCAGGGACACAGCTGTCCCACTTGCTGTCCTGAGCCAGCTGTCCCCAGAGCAGAACAGCAGGCTAAGGGTAGCTAGCCCAAGAAGACAGTACCCACTCCTGAGCAGCCAATGAACTAGGGACGCTAAGGAGTGGGAGGGCTCTTACTTTTCACCCTTCCTAGATGCTGAGTGGATCGGGAGGTGCTCAGTTCCACGCTCAGCAGGTCAGGAGGGTCCATGGGGTTTCCCAGATACAGCCTGTGAGGAGAGAGGTAGGTCAGAGGGTGTGATGGGGACAGTGAAGAAACTTCTGGCAGAAGTGCTTAGCCTATCCTCTGGGGTCAGGAAAAAATGAAACCTTGAGTGTCTAGGGACAACACATAGGAGCCCCATCATCTTAGAGGACGCCAAGTGGCAGACCTGAGTCAGGAGCTTAGGGCTCTTGACTCCAAATCTATAGATCCTGATCCCTTCTACATATCTAAACTGTAACCAGAGAAGGGTGTCATGGAGAAAACACAGAGAAAAAAACACCTGACTGTAGGCTAGAAATTCTAGGACTTCAGGGACTCCCACATACCCTACAAGAGCAAATCAGCCCCCACAGCACCTTAACCCATGCTAGGGAGCCACTTGCCGACCCACTCTCCTTAGTCCAACACAGGCCTAGCCTAGGACAGAAACAGGCTCCAGACTCCTAGCAGGGTGGGCAGCAGGCACCCTCTGCTGAAATGCAGAAGTGGAAGAGAGGCTGGGATGCTTGCCCTGCTCCCCATTCACCCTCAGTCCCTGTGCCAACTGTCAGTATCTAGGACTTAGTCACTGGGGCTGATTAAAGCCCAGAAGAATGGGGCTGGGCTGGCCACAGCATGCAAGGAGTAGGGCAGAGGGCATTTCACTCTCTTGCCCCAGCAATCACAGGCCCTGTCTGGGACCCAGGTAAAGTCCTCCAAGAACCTGGTGTTTTGGTGTGTGGGGGCCCAGAGGGTGAAGGCCTGTTTCACCACTCCTCTCAAGACAAAGGGTCACAGAGCATGGAAGCCTGGCAAGAGAGCTGCTAGGGGGGTTTCCAAGGGCTGGTGGGACATCCAGGAAGTGTCTAATTCTTCTGTGTCTTTCCCAGATCCCCTCAATTATCTCACTTGAAGGAGCTGTGAGTCCCACCCAAGCATAGTGAGCTCTGCTGAAGAATGTGGGAGTGGGGGGCTGTGCTGCTACCTGTGTGGCCCCCAAGTCTGGGAAGCAAGGCCACTCCTGCCTAGGAGTGCACACAAGATGTGAGCCCCGATCCCACAGGCTCACATCTCCAGGGCCCTGGAACTACCAGGAGAAGGAAAACTGATGCTCAAAGGCAGGGTCACGAGAGAAGACTTCCCGATGAATTACTTCCCAAGTCAATCCCAGTGTGCCAGGAGAGGTGAAGGCTTAGCCCTGGTGGTCTTTTCACCAACAGAGAATGGGGGCTTATCCTTGGAACTTCCTGACCTATTCTGCCTACAGTGAGAAGCCATGGGCAATGAAAGACCCTCTGCCCCATGCCTATGGCAGCGGAGGTGCAGTGGGGAAAGAAGATGCTGGAGGCCCAATGAGGATGACCCAGATCTCCTCACCCCAAAGCACCCCAGCATTGACAGCTATCTCCCAACTTGGGACCTCCTCTCTGGTACCTACAACTTTGTCCCACTCTGCCTTCACATCCTGTTCTAGTATGTGGGGCTTCTGGAACAGAAAGGAGAGAAGAGAAATGAGCAACACATAGAGAGACAGAGGAGGGTGGTGGTGGGGGCGGGGGGGGGCGGTAAGGGCAAGACAGAGAGAAAATGCAAAAATGTCTCTGCTTATTCAGGCCTCAGACACTTACAGACCTGGTCCAGGGCAAAAATATCACTGCAGTCTGAAAGGTCACTTGGCCTGTAGGGAGATGCTCTGCAGAGCCCACGTGCAGTGCTGGACTTACAAGCATTATTAAGCCAGCACAATCCCCAGTGCTAAACCACAGAGTACTGAGGGAGGCAAACGACTGTAATAAAAAGAGCAGACAATGCAATAGCACAGAAAGATAAAGTTGCTCCTATAGTGAATGAAGTCTGGATGGCAAGAAGAACTCTGAAGGACAAACTATAAGCTCCATGGCATGAGAAAAGCAAAAACATGTGCCCCTGTGGTTGGAAGACTTGTCAGGAAAGGGAAAAGCAGCTAGCCACAAGGAGAATCATGTATGCATGTGTATGGCTGGAGGGACAGTGCGCATGTCAGCTTGGGTCAGGAGGCTGGAATGTGCATGATCTTCAAGTGGCACAGTGACACCTTCTGCAGATGACTGCAAGTGCCCTGCAGCAGACAGCAGGGCACAACAGCTTTCCACTGTAGGCAAGAATGGAGAGACTTCCATGGAGAGACTCCCACTTCCCCTGGGTGGGAAGGCTACAGGGCCACACTGGCCTTGGGAAATGGACTTGGGAACAGCCTTTTGGAAGCATCTCTCATGCCTCCTGCTTTGAGTACTTTCTCACTCAGAGTGTACTTACAACCCTTACCTCATTAGCTCCATCTCTTGCCTGTTTAACAGACTAAGTAAACCTCAGACATTACGAGACTTGCTTACAAACTCACAGTCTGAGGCTTTCTAGGGTTCCAGATTTTCACAAGAGTGAGGCAGGGATCAAGAAGAAAGGATGGGATCTGGGGTTGGAGACAAAGACAGGAGATGAGGAGTCTGTAAGAGCCTGTGTGTGGTATGGTGAGGGGCTGCTAACACCCAAAGCCCCAGGCTGGATAAGGTCTGCAGCTCTGTCCACATACTCACTCATCAATCCTGTCAGGGAAGCCCCAGCAGTGGCGGGGGTCACTGTCGCCATGCCCTGTGTGGATGAAGCTGTTCTGCAGGGGCTGGCTGATGTCCTGGGCTGACAGGCCAGCCACAGAGGTCACCACATTGCGAGGGAAAGGCCCCACACACAGTGTCCGTGTGTTCTGTCCACGCCACCAGTAGTTCTCAGCCCTGCCCAACAGAGATGGCACAGTGAACACCAGGCATGAGGGAGAACCAGGCAGTGGGACCCTTCTCATACCATGATCTCTTTATCCATGGAACCTGGCCACCTTGGCAGAAGGGAAGCATGGGGCATAAGGCCTCAGGACCAGGCAGTCTGCATTGGCCCACCTTCCCCAACAGCACCCCCATGACCTGCCACTCCCTGAAAAGGGCCTGGCTGTTTACTCACAGCCTTACCCTAAGCTCCCCAGGTGGGTCAGGCAGCTTTCCCTACAGTTTACAAATAAAGAAACAGGTTTCAACAAGCGACATGACTTGCCTATAGTAACCAGAATGATTGCAGCAGACCTAGGATTCAAACCAGTTGTTAACTATGCAGTACTAGTGCCCTTCTCACACCACCTTGCCTACCTTCTCTCCTGATAGGACTGGCCCCAGGCCTGTTCTGGCCTCAAATTCACTCTTCAGCCAGGTTCCAAGAGTTTTAAGAGATGCAGGGGCCAAAGGAAGCACCACAGGCCTTCACACTGGGGTTGGTACTAAGTCTTTCAATGACAAGCTCCCTCCTGCATGGAGACCTTAAAGTATGTGGAGACATGGTGTGCAACCCAAGCCTTCTCTTCCCAGTGCTCCACACACCCTCAGGGCAGGGCTATGGAACCCCCGCCCTTGCTACCATACTCATCTCCTCAAGATGAGTTCTAATCCAGAAGGGAACTTGGAACTCCCAGTGTGGATGGACAGTAGGACTCTCAGTCCCTTGCTCTGACCACAGACAAAAAATGTGGGTTGACAAAATCTAAGGCAGGATCTAGGCCCAGACAGCAGGCAAACGGATGGGAAAGAACAGAGTTCTCTCCTGGACACTCCACATGCCCCAAAGCTCTGACAGGGTGCAAGATTCCTGCACCTGCTCATACTTGACATCGTGGGCAGAATCTGGACTAAGGTGAAAATGGTGACAGTCTCATACTGCTGTGGTATGTGTGGCACCAAAGCTCCCTGCTTACTGCTACCTCCTCACCCTCACTCTGCCTATCCCAAAGTCAGATGAATATAGAAAGGCCTCCTCCAGACTGTGGCCAGTTGGGCGGCTGGAGGAGGAGGTGATGTCTGAGCTGCTGGACCTACCACTTCTCAAGGCAATATAACCCCACTGGGGTGGCATCATTTCCAAAATGATCCCAGAGACCTACAGTCAAACCCCATGAGTACAGCAGTCCTCAGGGAGGTAAAAGGTGGAGTGAGGGGAGGCGGTGCCCGCAACTGCTCCTGATAAACAAGGCAGCCTGCCCAGCCCACCACCAGACACAGAAACCCTGTGATTACTCCTTGCCTTCAGGGTGGGAAGGGCAGGAAAGGAAGGAAGAAGAGAGGACAACACCCAGAGAAAGAACAAGACCCATCCAAAAATAGTAGGGTCATTCCAAGAAGGAGAGAAAGGGTCCTGGCTGCATACAAAGAGCTGCCCATTGGGGCAGCAACATCTGCTAGGCACCAATGGCTGCTGCTGCTGTTCTCCCCCAGTATCACTGGCTTCCTGGCAGCTTCCTTCACCAGGCAGCCACTCACCACCCTGGAGCTGCCATTGGACTCTGCTCTCTACACCTCCTGAGAGGTGCTCATTAACTTGGGTGAGTATTGCAGCTGAGAAGAATGGATGTGTCACTCCCTCCACCCCTTTCCTTTGATCAGCATGGTCCAGCTCCTCACACAGATGCGTCCTTCCAGACCCACTTCTGAGAGCAAAAGGAGACACCAAGTCCACCTGCCCTTACTACAGATACGGCCAACACCAGAATCCCATGGCTGTCAGGAGCCCCAGTAACTCTTTTTAAATTCATACTTTACTGGAAGAAGGAGAATGCATTCAAGCATGCTCAATAGCAGCAGTGTCCACTGGCAAGGCTCAAATGGCATTCCAAGATGGCCAATGCTACATATCTCACTCACTACCCATATAGGCCCTTTAGAATCAGTGAGGCCAAGGTGCCTAGAGGGCCAGGCCAGCCTCTCCACCAGCCTGCTGTGGCCACCCCTCTCTCCCTGGCACGTACAGACCAGAGTCTCCATGATGAAGGGAGAGCCAAGCTGGCCATCCACAATGACTAAAGCAGAGACAGACAGGACAGGGAGGCCCTGGATGAGAAAGAAGACCTAGCATCTCCAGCACAAACTTTCTACTTCCTGCTGCCCTCAGGCCTCTTGGCAAAGCCTCTGGGACAGAGAAGACAGAAAACTGCAACCTGAGCTGAGAGCTGTACCTAGTGCTGTGCTAGCTCTAGAAATCTCAGCACCTTGTTTCTGTCCAGAAATGGCTGAACAAGTGTTGCCTATATATTCTACTCAGACATGCACACACTCCCCTGCCCTTTTCTCTGGGTATCCCAGGTGCCCCTAGCCTTGAGAGATAACCCAGATTCTTGGTCCTTTCCTCCCCACCTACCTAGAGCAAGCAGAGGCTCTAGAACCAGGACAGACCAAGAACTTGCAAATAGATTTCAAAACCTCTGGCCCCTCTACAAAAGAGCTGCCAACTATCCCTCCAGGAAAGATCGGTCATAATTTGTCCCTCTGAATCTAGATCCAGTCTCCTAAACTCAATTCATAAAACACCTAGGTATCTTCTCTCCCCACTGTCAGGTATCCTGAGAAGCAACTAGCCTACAGAGTCAGTCAGAAGTGGGGACAAGTGGCTGCCCAGGCTCTGGACTAAGAAATGTATTGAAAATAGCTTCAGCAAAAAGGAATCCAAGGCTAAGAGAAGAACACAGAAAATGAAAAATCCAAGAGCCAGAGAAAGACCCACACAGACAAACTGCAACCCAAACAGACACGAACAAAGCCCATATGCCTGGAGACATGGAGACAGACTCAGCCAAACAAACAGAGATATCCGGGACTGAGAAGGCAGAGTAAAGCTCTGGTACCACCGACACACAGGCCCACTCCCAAAGCCTCACCGGCTGTTGTGGCCTCCTGCCCCTTACCTCCCACTTCCTGAGCAGCTCCAGGGACTGAGGGCAGAAACTGTGGAGGAGGAGCCCTATGAGCTTAACTACTGGTGGTGGCAGCTACTGGCAGAACCAGCAGCTGGGGCCAACCGGCGCCTGTGGCGGAAGGGCGGGACGGGGCGCACCCACGATGGCCTCCCAGGAAGAGCCATTCCCCTGGCTCCTCCTGCAGCCTGCCTGCTTGCAGTGACCCAGGGCACCAGAGACACACACCCAGAAACACAGGAAGCTCCTGAGTCACCCCTCAGGGATCACAGGCTCCCATGAGAGCAGGAGATGGAGGCTGGTAAAGACCTGGGGTTATAGGAGCAGAGGAGGGCTGGTCAGGCCCAAGGCTCTCTGGCTTCTAGAGGTAGGAATGGCCAGAGACCCAGACTTTTAGCATAAGGCTCTGCCAGGTACCACCAGAGTGATCCCCACCCTTAATCTTCCTATTTCCAGACTTTTCCCCAGGGTGCCATGCCTCTAATCCCTTTCCTTGCCTGTTAGCTCCAAACCTACAGACCGTCCCCAGGTCTCACCTAACATTTTTCTGTTTTCTTCTACCACCAACTCATTACCATCCTCTGCAACCTGCTGGAACTTCATTCTTATTCCCAGACACTGGGCCCAAGATGAGGGGGCTCTAGCCTAGGGCAGAGGGGCAAAGGCCATGTAGGTGCAGGTAAATTCTAAATACCCAGCTTCCAGGGCCCACTTCACCACTGCGTTGGGCCCAGAGGTTCACCCTACTCATTAGCCCCTGTGAGGCACAACATTTAACTGAGTGCTGCCCTGTAGGCATCCTTGCCTGGTTCTGAGTCAGAGGACAGGAATACAGGGAATTCCCTCACTTTTCCTTCTGGTCCTTAACACACACTCCCTACCCCAAAGGCATCTTTAGCTGCCCTGCCCTAACCAGATCCTCAGACACCATAGGTATCAGATATAGGAGGAGGGGCCAGCAGAGGGCAGGGCCTCCAAGGCAGGCATTAGAACTGCAAGAACTGTGGGGGCTTGCAGGTAGGAGGTCTGACTCAGGAGATGCTGCTTGTAGGGTAAGATGTGAGTTCTCAAGGTTGCAGGGGATGCATGGGTCAGGATCAGAAAAGTCCCTGTTATGAGGGACCAGAAAGAAAGGAGTGAGCCAGGCACCAGTGGCTCACACCTGTAATCCTAGTTACTTAGGAGCAGAGATCAGGAAGATCGTGGTTTGAAGCCAGCCTGGGCAAATAGTTCACGAGACCTTATCTCAAAAAACCCATTACACACAAACGGGCTGGTGTAGTGGCGCAACACATAAGCCCTGAGTTCAAACCCCAGTACTGCAAAAAAGAAAGGAGTGAAGGTGAGAGGCCAAACAAGAAAGAGGCTGAAGGGAGTCCCATGACTGGGATGGGATGCCCTGGGAAGAAGTGGAGGAGGCTGTGAGACTCAAACCTGACAAGGTGGTGGGCCTGGACAAGGCTGCTTTTGAGTTCTGAAAGGCACCTAGGTAGGTCAAAAGGTCCCTATGCTGGAGGAGGTAGGGAGATGGGGATGGGAGGAGGAATGCTTAGGAGTTCCAGTGTTTTTGCTTTGCCCTGGAAGCCAGGCAGGGTCATAATGGCAGCCTGGCCCTGATCCACAATGCCAAGGCTTGAGCCCAGTGGGAAAAGGGTAACAGAGACAAGTTGGGCAGAGGCCATGTGCACAGCAGCACCACTGGGTCCTGACCCCAAGTTCTTAGGAGCCTGACCAAGGCAGGCCTGTCACCCCAACCCAGCTGTGTGCTTCCATGGGAATCTTGAAGGTAGAAGAGATCTCTGTTCATGTACCCTTCCAATCTGTGCCCTTCAAGGCGTCCCAGTTCAGGGCAGACCTACCTTCCCTCAATGACAGTGATGACATCATTCATCTGGATATGCAGCTTGTCTGGTTCTTCAAAGTCCTGAAGGGCCCGCATGTCAGTGGGCTGGGCCTGGAAGCAGAAGACAGGCCATTGCACATCCAGGACTAAGCCTCAGGTGGCTCCTTGCTCAGATAACCCAGCTCCTGTAAGCAGACCTGCTCCTCACCTCCAGCAGAAAGTCCCTCAGGGCCACAAATGTGGGTCTGTCCTCTGGCTTGTGTGCCCAGCACTGGACCATGACATTGTAGATATCTTGAGGACAGTCTTCAGGGCGGGGCAGGCGCTCCCCTTCCTTGTCAATCTTATGCAGGATCTGAGGGTGGAGTGGTATAGAGTTCGAGGACAAGCAGAGCACTCAGATCTTTGCTCCCTACCTTCCCTCCAGCCCATCCTATAACTGTAGCTTCTGGCTGCCATGCCTGTCCTCCATAGAAGAAATCTGCTCCTGGGAAGGGGTCCCATCTCTTGGACCCTTATTCCCAGATGGACAACAGGCAGGCATGACAAAGGCAAGGTAAGCTCTTCCCTCCCCTGACCCACTGGGGCAACTCTTCTCTTTGCTAGGTTTTCCAAGAGGACATGTGGATATTGCATGGGGGGAGATAGCAGTCCATCAGATGAGAGCACCATGGTTCCTACAAGGCCATGTTGGGAGCAAGTGATGAAGTACCCTCACCTACCCTATGGGAAGTGCATTCCTAGTCTCCTTACCTGACTGCCATTGAGGCCAATCCAGGGCTCCTGGCCATAGGTGAACATCTCCCACAATGTGACCCCAAACATCCAGGTGTCGCTGGCATGGGAGAAAGTCCGTGTCTTCAGGCTCTCAGGGGCACACCTAAGAGAGGTAAGGATCTAAGAGAAGGCCTCTAGAGGACCCTCCTACGCCTGCATTTGCCCCAGTGGACATAAAATACTCATTTGCTAAGAATTTACTATTGCCCTGTGTGCCAAGTTCAACAGTGGCATACTGAGGGACATGGTATAAGGTGCACAAACTGGGCAGGACTTTTTAACCCTATGGTGCACAGCCTTGGGGAAAATCACCTATGCTTAAGACTCCTTATTCACATGCAGCCTGGAATGTGAAGGAAGGGGTTTCCCAGCTAGGGAAGCAGAGAAAGGAAGGTCAGAAGGCTCTAGTACAGGAGATGGGATAAGGTTTCAGATTGATTTCTATTTAGAGGATGACAATTTCTAGATTTGGGGATCCTGGGATTTGGTAACTTTGGCAGGAAGGTATGGGTAGGAAATTTGGATAGGACCTTGGGAGGAACCAAAATGGGTGGAAACAATCATACTGACTTTCCCCAGATATTCCCACACTTACTCTGCGTCTTCCTCCTGGATGAGGGGAGAAACACCACTACAGTGATACCAGAAAGGGACAATCCAGGATGGGCTGAGTGCATATGCCCTTGATAGAATCAAAGGATCTCTCAAAAGTAATGAGACCCAGGGATGGTCACTCAAGATTCCTAAACCTCATTTTCCTCATCTGTGAAATGGGAAAAATAACCTGTGCATTCCACAGTTGTTTTAAGGGACAGTATTTAAAAAGGTGACCTTATAGTTTACTACCTAAACCAGGATACTTGGATCCAAAAGGGGAGGGGGCTGTTAATGACTCCAGGACAATAGGCATAACCAGGATATGTGGTCCATTCATGGCATAAAATAGGTTAGTAACTAGGGTGAGCATACATCCTGGATTGTAAGGGTGCCCAGAGTCACAACTCTGGTGAGAACTGAAACAACTCCTTCTACCTCAATGATCATAGTCCTCTGGCTGCCTCTGGCACTAGAAGACCATGGCGATCTCATCACAGGATAAGCACATACAGGGGCCAGGGCAGGGCCAGGTACACCACAGTATATAGGCGAGCAGCCCTGGTCTATAAAATCCAGCATAGTTTGGGCCTGTCTGCCACTAGCTCTGCCTAGTACATGCTCAACAACCAATCTTGCCTGGTTCTGCTCCTTATATTTTAGGAGCTTAATACTGAGTTCTCCAGAAGCCTAATACCCCACTGAGTAGCACACGCTTTTGGGTCTCCACAGCATTTATCCCTATGCCTTCAAGTAACCTCCCTTGAGAATTCTTGGATGGATAAGGGAACAGATCAGTGCACAAGAAAGATGCCCCAGGCCCAGAACAGATAAGAGCTGCAGCAGGTACAGAAGGCCCCAGAAGCAAGAGGCCTGGGCCTGCTGGGACCAGGATGGGTTCTACAGCCCTGTGAGTCAGCAGTGCTTGTCCCTCACCAGGCAAACGGCACCTTGCGATGCTCCTGCATGACATAGTGGTCATCATTCTGGGGTAGGGCTCGCATCAGTCCAAAGTCCCCAATCTTGACCAGGTCACGGGTAGCCAACAGCAGATTTCGGGCAGCTAGGTCACGGTGAATAAAGCGCTTGGACTCCAGGTAACCCATGCCCTCAGCCACCTGCACGGCGTAGCGGCTCAGAGTCCCCAGGAGGAAGTGACCCTGGTGCTTACGTAGACGATCTAACAAGGACCCCAGAGGTGCCAGCTCTGTCACCTGAGGCCACAGAGAAGGTGAGAAGAATAAATCTAAATGAACTCCTCCCCTCTCTGAGCCCCCTACACAGGGCTCCCCATCCGTCCCTGAAGGCCTATGATAGCCATACTCAACATTCCTTCCTGCCCTGTCCTCTAGGGACCTCCAGGAGTCCTACAGCTTTCTAGATCTGTCTCTCCAGGCAACATGAGAAACTGAGGCCCAGAGAGAAGCAGTTCAAAGAGGACTAGACTAGAAATTACAAAAATTAACAAAGGCCAGCCCCTTCCATGGGTGCAACTCCTTGTCAGTGGTACTAGAAAATCCAGCTTTGAGGACTGGAGGCATGGTTCAAGTGGTAGAGCGCCTGCCTAGCAAGCACAAAACCCTGAGTTTAAATCCCAGTACTGCAAAAAAAAAAAAAAAATCCAGAGGTAACACAGTACTGGGATGGGCCCTTATGAGCCCCTTTGCCACACAGAGGGGGACCACAGCAGGACTTAGAAGACTTCAGACCTTCATCAGCTTGGAAAGTAACCACAGCACAGGCAGAAGAAGGGGTACACCTGGGAGCTAAGAACCAGCAGGCCACTACTTGCCCCCTCATCTCCTCTCAGCCCATAGCACTTACCATCTTCATGGGTGGTGTGAGCACCACACCATAGAGACGAATGAGGTTTCGATGGTCAAGCGAATGCATGGCATTGACTTCCCGGATGAAGTCATCCATGGCCTCTGGCTGGCTCAGCACGTCAGGCTTCAAGCATTTCACAGCCACACTCACCTGCCCAAAGCGGGATTTGCTGGGAGTCAGGGCTTACCTGGTCCCCAACACAGAGACAACATACTCCTTCCAACTCAGGCTACAGACCTTGCCTCAGATCTGCTCATCTGGGTGGACGAGCTTGCAACCAGGGCCTGGGCTTATATATTGTCTGTGACCTGACAGGAAGAGGGCAGCTGACTGATCCCTAGGGGCCATTAGCTGGGCCTTCTCTTTCTGAGAAAATTTACAGTTTAAAAGCAACTATAAAGTAAGAGATGGGACTAGTGGAGTGGCTCAAGTGGTAGAGTGCCTGCCTAGCAAGTGAGAGGCCCTGAGTTCAAATTCCAGTGCTGCCCAAAAAAAAAAAAAAAGTAAGAGATGACCAGTATGATGATAGACTATAACTAACGTGTTATAGTCAGTGACATTTTTATATAAGCTGGAATATTAAAAGTGGTTTTGGTATACAGGAAAATATTTAAATATAATGCCAAAGACTAAACTATAGCACTAGAAGTCAGAACAGTGGCCTCCCTTGGAGGAAGGGGAGGCTGAGTGGCAGGTGCTTGAGGGAACCTCTAGGATGCTCATACATCATCTGGGTAGTACTTAGGCGGGTCTATGCATATGTAAAAAGTTACTTACTTATACCTCTTAAGTTATACATGTTATCCCCCCGGGGAATTTTTTTTAAATATGATGCCAAGGGAAAAGGTAAGATTTAAAAAGTTATATCCAAAATTTGTATCTTAGCTAAGTCCAACAAAACACCTGAGGGAGGAAAAGGCAGAAGTATTAACTCTGCTACATTTGACTAGTGGGATTATAGGAGATTTTTTTTCAAATAAACATTTATAGTAAGTAAATTATTTTTACAATTGAAAAAACAAACAAACAAACAAACAAATGTGCTTAAACTTGAACATGTACTACAGGGTGAGCAACCTTCCAGCCCGTCCCCAACTGCACTCACATCCCAGAGGTGGGGAGAGGAGTCCCTTCCACTCCCAACCAATGGCCACCCTCAGGCCCCAGAGCTCACCGTCTTTCCTGCAGGAGAGTCCCACTCGCCCCTGCGCACCACGCCAAAGGAGCCATCTCCCAACTTCTCCAGGAGGCGCAGGTCCTTCTCCCCGATAAGGCAGGTGAGGCTCTGCAGGGGCCCCTCACCTGTTGGGCCACCTAGGGTGGATGAGGGCTTCTGGAAGGTGCTCTGAGAGTGATGAAGGGGGAACTCAGCCTCCAGCCGCTTTCCACTGAATACCTGTTTGAAGGTAGCCAGGAGCCAGATAGAACCCAGGGCCCCAGAGCCAGTCAGTCACTTGGTCCTGTCCCACCCTACTGGGTCGATCTGATGGTCCTCGGCTGGGCCTCAAATAGGTCCTGGTTTTGCCAAATCACCAGAGGGCAGACCACCCCAACCAGCAATGCACAGTTTCAGAGTGGCCTCCAGATGGGTATCATCAATCAGATGAGCATACGACCTGTGGCTGGAGTGGCCCTACTCAGCTTCAGGGACAAGAATAGCTTAAAGTCCTCCAGAAATCACTCACCCACCCCCAGGTCTGGGTCTCTTCCCCATCCTCCAACTCCACCCTTCCCTTCCTTTCCTGTACCCTCTACCCAGCACAGAATCTGTCCCTAACCCACAAAGATGGTGCAGGAGCCTGAGGGGCCCTCCACAAACACCTCCCTGTCCATTTTTAGCTCTGGCCCCTTCTCTGGGCTAACCATTTGGTGCTGTCTGTCTCCACCCTCCCCAGGGAGTCGGCTGCCCTTCATCCTGCCCTGGGGAGAGGATAATTTTAGTCTGAGGTTGAACCGTAAGTGTGTGCATATGTGTGTACACGTCCATGTGGTGCAGATGAAGCTAGTCCTTGCTGGAGAAAGGCCTGGGAAGACAGCTGGGTTTCTGGAGGGGTGCCTGGAGCTGAGGGCTCAGAAAGAAGGCTAAAGGGGTCTCTGAGGCTTGAGCTGGAGAGGGGACCAAAGGTCAAGAGACAATAAGAAGGGGACCATGAGCAGTAGAGCAGGCATGCTAGTTAGTGGGAAGAGTCAGGCTACAAATTCTTCCTACCCTCCTAGAAGTTAGCATTTGTATGTGTAACTGGACATCTCAACCTGAGGGCCTCTTTTGGCCTCTGTTCCTTCCTTCCTTTCAGTAAGTAAAATTCCTTATGTTTGCAAGTAATGTTCACCTTACAAGGCCCTTCACAGCCATTATCTCCAGGAGTGACTCTTCCTACAGTCCTGCAAACTGAGCTGGGTAATGGCACCAGCTCTGTTTTACTGAAGACATGACTCAAGTTTGGAGAGGGTCGCTGACCACCCAGAGATCTATTGTGAGCTAGTGGTAGATCTAGAATAGAATCCCACATTGTTCCTCTCTCCTGTCTTCACTGGCCTCAACACACTCATCCTTCCCTAAAACCTGGGCTAGGGGCCAGAACTGTGTCCCTAGAAAAGGCCAAGGATCCCAAGAGACAGCCCCTTTGCCGGGCTGCATCCAGGAAATCACTACTGTCCAATCCCAGTCTAGCTGTTCTACCCTGCTCACCAACCCCCCCACCCTATCCCTGAGGTCAGAAGTGGGGAGGGAGGCCCTGGCTGGCTCATTTCCTCTCTCATTGTCTTCTAGACAATGGGCAAAGTTCCACTGAGTCAGATTAGGGACTCACTACACCACAGACCCAAATTAGGACAAGGTGGTAGGGAGTGGGGGTAGGCTGTGGGGAAGGTTGTCAGCCAGGCCAGATGACCAGAGAAGTCTAGAGACCAGAGAGTGGAGGAGGAGAAGAAGCAAAGCAGAGAACTCCAGACAGTCCCCATCACCCCACGCTGGACACTGGCCCAACTCAAAGGAAGGCACACTTGTCAATGAGCCCCAGTTCCCTGCACACCAAGAAGGGCTATAAAGACTTCACTGCACACAGGCTGCTCACATGTCTGTTTCTGACAGAGACAGACACTTAGCCCTGCAGCTCCACAAGTGCCCTGCCTGATAAGACCCTGGAGGAGGACGGTCTGTACAAGGTGTGAAGGAACATGAGATTATACCTGCTGGGGAATGGGGAAGGATCCTAGGACTGCCAGCAGCATGGGGCCCTTGGAGTTACCCCACACTTCACTCACCCACCTTGCTCATCCACGACTTGCGTTTGCACATGGCCTTCCTTCTCTTCACAGCCTCCCACAGCCGCCGCTGGCCTGCAAGGGCGGAAGAAAAACCCAGTGCTGTCAGATGGCTTACTCTCCTCCTCCCACAAAAGAGGCTGCTGTCCAGTTAGCAGGCTTCCTTTCCTTGGTTTCCCTGGGGTGGGCCTACCACTAGATACTGCCCAGCATAATGACACTGACTAAATCAATCCTAACCAACTAGGAGCTTCATTCAATTACACAGTAATTGCATTCCATTTCTAGGCAGTGGTTCTCTTACTGGATACAGGTGTTTAACCACCAAAATTCAATAATAGTGGTCATCTATCCTTCCAACTGTCCAGAAAAAATAAGTTAATGGACAGAATTTTTTCAATTTTGAGAGGTTTTTTCCCATAAGATTTTCTTATGCTACTGGCTATTTTAAGTTGAATGCACTGATAAATTTCTAATGTCTTATAAAAGAACACCATGACTTCTAGATGACAATCACTACTTTTAAGATAAATTCAGAGATGTGAGTTCAACTGGGAGAGAGAATGTGTGTATTAGCAAACCATCTGAGTTTTTGTCTTTCCTTCTCCCTGTAGATCTCTAGGCACTGACCTCACTGGTGTTCAGAACGACAAACAGAACAGACTCAATTCTGCACTTAGAAAAAGGGGGAGATAGAGGAACTATACCCCACAAATATCTGATCAAATAAAAAGAGGGATGTACTTAGTCCTGGATAGCCTGAGCTTTAAGACTGCATTCTCCTCAAACACCCATTCACCTTTATAACTGCGAATTGGTCCCAGTGCCTCATATGGGCAGCATCTACTGTTTCCCACCCCCATCCCCACCCCAGGGACTCCAAGACAGGCAGACAGAGTTCTCAGCTGCCACCCATGAACCACAGGGAAGGGATACTTCCACGTGCTGGGCCATCCTGAAGACAGAGAGGTAAATGGTCAGGGGACTGTCAATGTTCCACCTACCAGGCCGGCCCATGCCAATCTTTTCCAGGTCCTCGTTCTTAACATACTCAAAGTGGGAAAGGCGGGTAACATTGAGGTCATCACGGAGTCGCAGGAAGTACTGCTGTAGTTGCACCTCAGACAGGAGCTCCAGCAGCCAGCCTGTGCCCTCCTCCGGCTGCATGCTGCTGCTCCCCAGCCTCTGTGAGAGGGAAGAATGGCTCAGGGTCAAACAGATTCAGGGAGATGGCAGGATGAGCTGCCTCTCAGTGCTCTCAGCTCACCCACATCATAGTCTACAGATGCCTGCAAGGACTCAAAATACCCCCTTGCTCCCCAAAACAGCTGTGCCCATTTCCCCCATTCCTGCCAGAAACAAGGGTAGAATTAAGACAGCTGAGACATAGCCTTGGCTCCAGAGGAGTCAGGAGTCAGGATCTTACTCTCAAAATCTATGAATGAATATTCTTGAAGTCTCCATGGGTCACAAAGCCTTTTAAAATGATCAATTATCTCATCAGGAAAATATACATACTCTCACCCCTAAATTTTTTATTTAAAACTTGGGGGATTGCAATGCCCCCAAGACCCATCCATGGGCTCCTAGCTCCAACAGACCTCACAGAAAGATCTAAATGGAGTTCCTTCCAGTACCTGACCTCACAGTGAAGAGGAAGATAGCCTTGAAACAGGGCCATAAAACACAGTAAACTGTCAACTAAAAGCTGTAACCTCGGACAGAACTGTGAGAGAGCCATGCAAAAGTTCAGGACCAAGATGAAAGGCACCATGCAGAGATAAGCACCCATCCTGCCTTTCTTTGTCTCTACTTCTAAATAAACTTTCCAAAGCAGGCCTCCCCTGCTGGCCTTATCTAAACAACATTAGGTCCCTAGCTCACTGCCAGCTCAATTAACCTAAACAATCTAACTCACTGATTAGGACACCATAACCTGAGTACATCTTTGTAACCTGATGCCCTGCACTACCTTTTAAATATCTTGTGAATCCTTTGTTCAGGGCTCAGACACAGGTACACATCTGAGCCCGCTGGCGTAAAAATAAAATCTCAGTTCTCTACTCCTCCGAGTGTCGTTTGGTTTCTCCTCTGATTACGTTGCCACATCAACAGAGCCTTTCCCACCAATCCAAAGGTCTGTCCTTGGGCCACTCCCAGGTACCTACAGGGTTATAAGTGGAGGGGTATGAACCCAAGTGGACCTTCAGACACTCCAGTCAAGGGGGATAAAGCTCCTGTCAATGGTGCCACAAGAGACTATGGCTCAATGTTGTCAAAGCTTGCCATTTTTTCCACACCAGGTATCTGAATTCTTGTCAAAAAAAAAAAAAAAGATATCTGAATTCTTGTGAAATCTTTCCTTTTTTTTTAAAAGGCCATATACGCACATGGTAAAATATTCAAAAGACACAGTCTCATTTCCTCCCTACTGCACAGCCATTCCCAAAGCCAGCTGCTAATGCCTTTTATGTACCCTTTGGGATTTTGTTTTTCCCACTCACATATATTCACAAATTACCCATAATGCTCTGCTTTTCATTTTCACTTAACATTGTGTCTTTCTCCTGATGATGTCAACTAGTTCAAGTTTGACAGAAAAAGAATGTATGAAAACAATTCCATTTACAATAGCCTCAAACAAAATCAAATACCTAGGTGTAAACCTAACAAAAGATGTGAAAGACCTCTACAAGGAAAACTATACACTTCTGAAGAAAGAGATTGAGGAAGACTATAGAAAGTGGAGAGATCTCCCATGCTCATGGATTGGTAGAATCAACATAGTAAAAATGTCGATACTCCCCAAAAGTAATCTACATGTTAATGCAATTCCCATCAAAATTCAATGACATTCATTAAAGAGATTGAAAAATCTACTGTTAAATTTATATGGAAACACAAGAGGCCACGAATAGCCAAGGCAATAGCTCAGTCAAAAGAACAATGCAGGAGGTATCACAATAACCTGACTTCAAACTATATTAAAAGCATAACAATAAAAACAGCATGGTACTGGCACAAAAAACAGACATTGAAGACCATGGAACAGAATAGAGATCCAGATATGAAGCCACACAACTATAAGCAACTTATCTTTGACAAAGGAGCTAAAAATATACGATGGAGAAATAGCAGCCTCTTCAACAAAAACTGCTGGAAAACTGTTAGCAGTCTGCAAAAAACTGAAAACTAGATCCATGTATATCACCCTATTACCAAGATTAACTCAAAATGGACCAAGGATCTTAATATCAGACCCCAAACTCTTAAGTTGATACAAGAAAGAGTAGGAAATACTCTGAGTTAGTAGGTAAGGTAAGAACTTTCTCAATGAAATCCAGCAGCACAGCAACTAAGAATAGCATAGATAAATGGGACCTCATAAAACTAAAAAGCTCTGTTCATCAAAAGAAATGGTCTCTAAACCGAAGAAACACCCAAGGTGGGAGAAAATATTTGCCAACTATACATCAGACAAAGACTGATAACCAGAATATACAGGGAACTCAAAAAACTAAATTCTCCCAAAACTAATGAACCAATAAAGAAATGGGCACGTGAACTAAACAGAACTTTCTCAAAAGAAATTCAAATGGCCAGAAAACACATGAAAAAATGCTCACCATCTCTAGCAATAAAGGAAATGCAAATTAAACCACGCTAAGATTCCACCTCACCCCTGTTAGAATAGCCATCATCAGCAAACCACCAACAACAGCTGTTGGCGAGGATGCGGGAAAAAGGAACCCTCTTACACTGTTGGTGGGAATGTAGACTAGTACAACCACTCTGGAAAAACAATTTGGAGGCTACTTAAAAAGCTGGACATCGATCTACCATTTGATCCAGCAATACCACTCTTGGGATATACCCAAAAGACTGTTACTCCAGAGGCACCTGCACATCCATGTTTATTGCGGCACTATTCACAATAGCCAAGTTATGGAAACAGCCAAGATGCCCACCACTGACGAATGGATTAAGAAATGTGGTATCTAACACAATGGAATTTTATGCAGCCATTGAAGAAGAACGAAATGTTATCATTCGCTGTAAATGGATGGAATTGGAGAACATCATTCTGAGTGAGGTTAGCCTGGCTCAAAAGACCAAAAATCGTATGTTCTCCCTCATATGTGGACATTAGATCAAGGCAAACACAACAAGGGGATTGGACTATGAGCACATGATAAAAGCGAGAGCACACAAGGGAGGGATGAGGATAGGTAAGACACCTAAAAAACTAGCTAGCATTTGTTGCCCTTAACACAGAGAAACTAAAGCAGATACCTTAAAGCAACTGAGGCCAATAGGAAAAAGGGAACAGGTACTACAGAAAAGGTTAGATCAAAAAGAATTAACCTAGAAGGTAACACCCACGCACAGGAAATCAATGTGAGTCAATGCCCTGTATAGCTATCCTTA